TTTCTTACAACTTGCAGCAAAACTTTAAATATTAGGTTGTCCGTACTGCATTTCTTTCTCCATTTCTCAGTTGCTTGTTTGAATTAAAACGAGTTTGACCTTAAAAAGCATCATTCCAATACTTTAGTAAATCATAGCATAATGACAGTATTATAAGCATTTGTTAGCTGCAAATAGTGTTATTATTTTTTTTTCCTCTAACAAGTTTCATATATTATATTGCTCCAGTTTGAAGCATTCCACATTATGTGGATCGGGGAAGGCATTAAGATCCGACTTAACCATTCCCTTTCAAGGAAGAAAAGAATGAAAACTTCTCCTTCTTCCATCGATTTCGTCCTCAAATTTGAATTTTTGACTATCTGAGTTCATCATTTTTGGGTCGTGAAGACTATTCCTTCAAAATAATCTATAAACATATTAACGAAGATATACATTTTTTAGCAAATGTGAAAAGGTGATATTTCACTTATTTAAATATTTGTAGAGAATCAAATACAATTAAATTATAAATGACATACGTAGAAGTCGACTAAAAATAAATAAATAAATCATTTTACTAATGAATATTGGGAACAAGTTCCTAATGAGCCATTTCAAATAGTCAACTTATAAGGATTTCAACTGCTCTTATAATAAGATTTTCTCAGTTGGAACCAACTTTTCGTGCACCATCTACTACAAAAGTGTAGTTTTGATTTGTTGAATAAAAAATTGGGAATATAATAGTGAAGGTCCGACCAGTGGCGAATCTAGGATTTCGACTCAGCTAGGGCGGCCGTTGATCATTGGCCGTTGTCTGTCGATAATTAACGATCATATACCGATATCTTTTATTAATATTAAATTGAATAATATTAAAAAAATTTCGATCTATATGTAAATATACTAAAACGTAAAAATCGTATATTTATATCATATTATATTTCCATACAATCCGAAATAAAATAAATTACATAATACATAAGACTTCTTTGTATTATCAATACTTAACAAATCGTTTGCTTGACTAAAAGTGGTTGAGAGATTAGATACATCACTACAAAAACTAGATTAAAATTCAGTTGAAAAAATCATTTCATAATTAGTATGAGAATTGAACGTTAATAAAAAATTAAACGTAATTAAAAGTAATTTTAAAATATAATTAAAGTTTCAATTTTCAATTCTCAATACCAATTCATCACAAATTATAAATTCCCCAATTTCTCATTTTTAATTTTCATGAATCAAATATTCACATTTCACGATACTCAAATTAATTTTTTATATCACAATTCACAATAGACAAATTCTCAAATAACATATAAATTAAAACTCAATACTCATAAGTCAGATCTTATAAATTATTAAAGTATAAAATATTTAAAAAGAAAGAAAAAACCTTTTGTAAAGTCTTAACATATATTATTTTGTTAAATTTAGATTCAAAATTCAACTATTACCATAATGGTTAAACTTCCAATCATCCTAATTCTAGAAGTTATAGGTTTGAATCCTTTCCTTAGGAAATTAATTTTGGTAAATATTGTAAAAATAAAAATTTTACACAATGAAATGGAGGGGAAGGAATCGAACTCAAGACTCACAATACATAAAAGGAAGTTCTAACCAACTAAGCAAAAAAGAGATTTGAAAATAAAATAAACTACCAATTATATAACCTAAAACTTTTTCTATTTCCAACCAAAAAAAAAAAAATTTCTCTTCGACGAATCCAGCTGGGGCGGCCGCCCTAGCTGGCCGCATACTAGATCTGCCCCTAGGTCCGACTATAACTAAATCACGTGAATCTCCAATTAAATGTATGGATATAGGATCCACCATGTAACATGATGATCCTAATCCGTAATGATAATAAATAACATTACTCTACCAAAAAAGTTCTAGCATCACTTGAACTCTGAATGATAAAGATTATGATATAATTTGATATGTTCAAAATATATCCTGACTTTTTAAAACTCTATATTAAAATATTTATTATTTAAATCGAAACTCAACTGACGACTCCCATAACTCCCTCGCTACTGTAAGTAGCTATTCAGTTAATTGATTCTCCTCTCAACTTCTTCTGCTTCTCAAATGGGTTATCGTGCAGTTGCAGTTTTTACAATTCTTGCAGTTACATTTCTCAGTGTTTCTGCTAAACATGCACATGTTAAATCGAACAAATTATGCAATTTATACGAAGGAGAATGGGTATTTGATAATTCATATCCTCTCTACGATTCCAACAAGTGTCCATTCTTGATACAGCAATTTAATTGCTCGGGAAATGGACGGCCAGATCGAGGTTATCAGAAGTATAGATGGCAACCCCATAACTGTAATCTACCCAGGTAAATAAATCACTTCGTTTCTTCATCTTCTTCACGTATCTGATATACGCAACTTGATTTGATTTGGTGATTTTACGAGTCGGGTTCTCGATTTAGGTGGAATGGAGAAGAGTTTATGAGGAGAGTTAGAGGAAAACGCATGATGTTCGTGGGAGATTCGATAAGCATGAATCAATGGCAATCTCTGGCTTGCATGATTCATGGTGCCTTCCCACGTGCTGCTCACACGACGCGAAGATTGGGTCTACTCTCCACTATTGTTTTCCCGGTTTGATTAATCCCTTTCTGTTTACAATTAAATTTCATGCACGTTTACTCACGATTCCATGCTTAATTAATTGTAGTACTAAATAATTAAGTAAATGTGGACTGGATGAAGAGTTTTTCTTATGACTTATAAGTTGTTTTCCTTTCCATTCGGCCATTTAGTTAGAAATGGAGTAAGGGATACCTATAAAGAGATGTCTACTTATTCGTTCTTTGACGTCAAATATACCCTTTTCGTTTTAAAAATTCTTAGTCAGATTTTTTTTTTTCGTTGTGAAGAATGTATTTTTTTGGAAGAAAAGACTTCAAATGAATGGGACGTTCAAAATAAGAGTTATTGTAATTTTTGAAATGAAAAGAGTGTTAATTATATTTATACTAGTCATTTGGCTGAGCCTTTCGAAAAAAAAATATAAAGATAATGCTGACTAATAAATTATACAACAATTCATCTATGAATTGAATGAGATTAAAGAAAAGAAATGTTTGTCTATGACTTCATGAAATTCACGACGAGGGTTCTTAATCTCCTCTATTCCATGTTTAAATTTTAGAAAAAAGTGGGCTTGGCACAAGCTTCACTTCTTTGATTAGACTACCACTTGGGGCTTGGTTTAGCTAAGGATGAGATTTGTTACCTGATTAGTCTCCCCTCGCTATTAGTAATTTATACTATATCCAATATCCAATGCTATTCAATACATGTAAAAAGATTGAACTAAAATTTGCCTCGTGTAGCATGAGTTAATACAATGAATAACTCTTTCAGCAATTCAATTTCACGCTGATGTACTCGCGGAATGCATTCTTAGTCGACATTACAAAGGAAAAATCTAGACGAGTGCTCAAACTCAACAAGATTGGTGGCAGTGTAAAACAGTGGTTGAGTAGTGACATTTTGATCTTTGATACATGGCACTGGTGGCTTCATACCGGAAGAAAACAACCGTAAGAATCTGAGTTTTTCTTCGGCTTTTTCCAATTTCATCAATAAATTTTTCTACTGGCTGTGTTTTGTAGTTTAGGGGTTTGAATTTTTTTTAATTATTATTATTTTTTTTTTGCCACAGATGGGATTTGGTTCAATATGGAAAAGTCAGACTCAAAGATATGGACAGAATGGTTGCTTATGAGAAAGCCTTGAGGACATTGACACGATGGATAGACCAGAGTGTCAACACTAAGAGAGTCAAAATCTTTTTCCAAGGTGTCTCGCCTGATCATTGGAAGTAATTAATCTAAACTCTAGTACGATATTTTTAGTATAGTGTTGTCCAGTACTGTCTGAGAAAACTTGTCCTTAAAAAAATTTATCTTAACAGTGCTACTCAATGGGGCAAGCCTGAACTACAGAGGTGCAGCGGCGAACGGCAGCCCTTTAGGCCAGAGATGTATGGCGGGGGCCGTAACCTACCCGAGAGCATTTTGGAGAACGTGCTTGGAGCCGTGAGGAAGCCAGTTCACTTGCTCAAAATTACAGCATTGTCACAGTTAAGGGTTGATGGGCACCCCTCAATTTATGGCAACCCTAGGAAGATTGGCATGGATTGCACACACTGGTGCCTTCCAGGAATTCCTGATGTTTGGAACCAGCTACTTAAAGAAACTCTTATTAGATCTTAATTGAATTGATTTTTTTCTTTTTAACACTCATTTTTCTTTGTTCTCTTTTACTGATTTTTAATACTGGTTTCTTTATATTTTTAGCGCATTATTTCGATGTTTTTGGCAAATTCAGACTCTGTTGTGTAGTAATACTCGAGGTTGAATATATTTTCTCTTGTAATACTCAATCTTGATTGTCAAGAATGCGATCGGGGTCAAGTAATGTTTGCCACTTGGCAGTGTGGTGCTAGTGTTATAGGACATCAAGTAGACGGGATATGTGAATAATCGAGTACTCTTGTTGATCAAAATTAAATATGTAGAGATTTTGAATCAATTAATATCTCCTGAGTTGATTTGCTCAAATGCGTCAAATAGTGTCAAACTGAAGTCTTGATATAATTATCGGTTAAATAATATATAGACAAATTCTTCATATCAAATTGAGGCAATTTAAATGCCTAGTCTTCTAGTTATAGTGCCTCATATAATTATAGTTCAAGTATTAATTGATGTTTTCTTAGCGAGAATCTTGTCACGTCTTTGATTGAAACATAAATCCAATTGTTGATGTGTAAGTTATTTATTAGTGAATTAATTTACTATATTTAAGGTTGACATGATCAATTGATAATTAAATATTTCTTGAGAATTCTTCTTGGAAATCTAGCTCTAATCCTGTGAATATGGGCAAGAAAAACGAGAGTTCTATAAATACATGATGGATAAAGGTGAAGTGACCGAATTGTTTGACAAAGGGGATGACCAACCCTGACATTTTGCACATGGGTCTTGTGCGAATTAAAATATGCCGACTTCTCTATATACGTGTTCAGTCATGTCCTATCTCATACTCTATTAGCAAAATCCATACATGATAGGTCTATCATTTGTACCGTGATTAATATCTGTCATTTTTCTCTCTTTACTTTTTCTAACCATCCACTCCTATATCGACACTTGTCATTGAGGTCAAATTTTATTTAACTTTGTTTGGTCTCTTACATTCTATCCCTAAGTTATACTAAGAAACCAAATTTCGAAAACTTAATTTCATTCTATTAAATTCATTGCATATTATACAAGACTAATCTCACAAAATTTTTTAACTTGATATAAGAGTTACGCAACATTTTTTACGGCCAATGAATTACAAAATTGACATCTAAACTTTTATTTTTCCAAATTTTCTTCTAAAAAGCCCGAAACAACATAGGATGTCAAGATTGTCTTCCATTCTTTACTTATAATAATTTTGTTGCTTGATGCGAGCAAATATTTATATATGGTTGAAATTTATTATTGAAAAATTTATCACATAATGTATAATTAAAGAATTTTTATCTATATATCCTTTGTTTTAAAAGCTTGCTTACAAGATTATCATTGTTCCAATAATAATAGATATTAATAGCGTTTATCGTGATAGAATTTAAATTGGAATTATTAAGTCAGAAAATTGACACTAAAATTAATATTTTCGGTGGAGTTCGTGAGGGAAAAATCCCTTGTAAATTTGCATAGCGGTATCAATTAATAATTATATGATTAGATTATTATTATTATTTTTAAATGAATCTGACCAAAGAATTTTCGAAAAAGAACTCCTTCACAAAAATTATTATACTTTTAATTGTTGGAAATCGGTGTAAAAAGATATGGAAATTGGTTAAATAAAACCATGAAAAATGAGAATAGTGACTTCTGTGTCAAATTCAGCCCAATATTCGAACTTGATCCAATAGTTAAATTATGAAAATAAATAGACTATCGTATTCTACTAGTCGAGAAGATGATCATAATATATTTGAAATCTTAAAAAATAATTTCAGATGAATGAGAAATTGCGTTCCAAAATTGGAAAAAAAACGAAGAGAAAAATGCCAAAATTCAGATAAGGTTGTCGCTCAAGTCACATGCTAGCACTAGGCGAGCAGCAAAACTGTTGTTCGACCAATGAGCTAGGGGTGGCAAATGATAGGAGTTCTGCTAAAAATGTTCCACTAGCACTCGAGTGACGTACTAACGACACGCTAGTGACAGGGAGGGTGTGTCCATCCTTCAATCTTGTTGAGTTTTGGGCGTAACTCTCCATTCAAACCTCTCCTCTTCTATAAATAAGACTATTTGGACATCCTTTACTTCATTCAAGCCATATGCAATCATAGCATAACATAAAAATCATATTTCCTAACCTAAATTTTGCATTAAAAAAATATGTTTTTCATTTCATTCAAAAGGAGTACAAAAGCCATCTTTTTTGGTTTGTTGTTTCTTGTGTTTTGGAACGGTACAAACAAAAGAAAATGCAACCACTATGCTAAAAATGTGCCATCGGTGCTCGAGTGATGCACAAGCGACAAGTTAGCGATGACGAGGGATGCGTCCTTTCTTGAAGGTTGCTGAGTTTTGGGATGTGACTCTCTATTCGCAACTCCTCTTATACAAATAAGACTCTTTGGAAGTCACTTACTTCATTCCAACCATATACAATCATATCATAATTTCCTAAATTCTGCGTAAAAAATTGTTTTCCATTTCATTCGAAAGAAGTACAAAAGTCATCTTTTTTGATTCATTGTTTCTAGTGTTCTGAAGTGCTACAAACACAAGGAAGTAGTTGTTGTATTTTGGAAGTTGATTGTCATCATTTATAGGCATCGTTACGAGACAACATCGATTTAAGAACAAAAAATTTAACTCTTACCACGACTTTGCATCCATTTTCTTAGTATTACTTTGTCCAATTTAGTTAAACGTTTTAACTTCCATTTCATTGGTGTTTATTACTCAATTATTTGCTGTAAGTCTATCCAATTTTGATAAGGTAGGTGAGTTCAATTTAATGAATAAAATCACTCAAATCCATTTTACAAACAACATTAGTTGTTTTTAATATTAAAAGAAGACATAAAAAAAAAAAAACTCATGATTGGTTAGATTTAAAATTTGTATTGGCTTAAGTATTAACAAAGAAAATTATCCTGCGTTTCATGTATTCTAAGTTCTAATATTTTATCATTCTCGGCACTCAGAAGAAAAATTCTATCCAAATTCCCAAAGAAGTTCAATTCTCCATTTTCTATAATTTTGATAAGGTAGGTGAGTTCAATTTAGTGAATAAAATCACTCAAATCCATTTTAGAAACAACATTAGTTGTTTTTAATATTAAAAGAAGACATAAAAAAAAAAAAAACTCATGATTGGTTAGATTTAAAATTTGTATTGGCTTAAGTATTAACAAAGAAAATTATCCTGCGTTTCATGTATTCTAAGTTCTAATATTTTATCATTCTCGGCACTCAGAAGAAAAATTCTATCCAAATTCCCAAAGAAGTTCAATTCTCCATTTTCTATTCTCTCCCACTTTGAATTGAAAACAAATATTTATAACTATTTATTTAAAACAATTATCTCTTAGTTTAATTTATCTTATTTTTTTCAAAAGTATAAATAATTTGACTTTATATTTGTGGGCCCAATATCATATGAAATCTGATGATATTGGGTTTAGTTGCTATGATCCATTGTGTGTCACGACATCTTTAGTTGATAAATCAAACCTTGAATGTTCCGCTTCGAAGAGGATTCTTGTGCCTGATTAGTCAATGATGAGAACGCTTCTACTGACCCCTAAGTAGCTGATGACACAATAGTTTAGTACGAGATTGCAGGTAAGTTGGTTTCAGTGCCCGTAACAGTAGTTGCAAGCTAGCAAACAAGTGAGATAGAAAGCTCACATTTTAGGGCCAATTAGGCCAATGGCAATCCAAGAGTCCATTACAGCCAGTGAGCTAGTTTAAGAGAGAATGGCTTCTATTTATCTTCCTTTTGTCTTGGATCGAGAAAGAGTGATAGGTTGCATTACTTACTAACGACATCTCTTGTGCTAATCTTTTAGATCCAATTGCAGGCCTAAGGCCAGTTGTGTTCCCTAGAGATGGAGTTGGAGTCGTAGGCCCATAACCGAAAATCAACATTCAAGATCTGGTATCCCTAACTTTCTCGACTTTTGCTTGATCGACGAACTTATCCGGGGCATGGACTAACGAACCGCTCTTTTCAATTTTCCAATAATCACACAGTCGAACTCTTCTTTCATGAATATCATACCGCGTTTTCTTGGGTGGAACACGCTTAAACTATGTGCATTGAATTCTTTTAGGATAGGAGTACTTATCTTGAATGCAAAATTGCTTTTTGCGCCTAAATCTTATCCATAAGCATAAAAAGAAAAGTGGTTCGTCTTCCCTAGTAGTCTCTGGCGGATGAGTAATCAAAGCTAGGAGCCCCTTTTCTTTCATCGGAATTGGTAGTCTCGTATGGGTCTGGCTTTTCTCAATATGCGAAATCGAAGGAAGCAAGTGGGGTGATCTCGGTGTGCCACCTCCCAGGAGTGGAATGATTATCCCTGCCCGATGGGCATCGGGTACTGTTAACTTCCCCGCCATTCTTGTAACTGTTACCTGTAATCCGCACAAGTGTGTCCCCACCCCCCCCGAGTGAACGAGAAAGAAAGGATTTCTCGGAGCAACTAGACCCAGGAGTCAACTTTCCCGTATGAGCATTCGGTACATGTATTAGTCCGTGGAAGAGTGAAAGGGTCACAACTACTAAGGATCTCCCCCCTAATCTTAGATAGGTCATCTGAGGGTTCGCTGTGGTTCATTGCTATGCTTACACACTAGGCTACCCTTTTCTGAAAGCTCCGCGGGACCACCTACCACTAGTCTTCGCCCAGAGGGGTTCATTGCACAAAAACGTCGAGACGCAGGCTCCCGAAAATGAAAGCCCAACGAATGTCAGATGCAAAGCCCCGCACCTCATTAAGATTATATTGGCATACTCTCCCAAAAAAAAAAAAAAAAAGATCAGACCCCATTAAAGACGAGAGTGAGGTACAACAAGGGTTTAGTTGCATTTTTTACTATCTATAATATGGTTTAAACGGTTCAAATAAACATTAAATTGAGTTTTCAAATAACCAACTTCACAGGTTGAATTCACTTGGTCTATCAACCCTAAAGATGGTTTCATTTTAATATTTTTATTCATATTCACTTAATAGTGTAAGGTGTAGTTTCCCTTGAGAGTCTCTTAGCTCTTGAGACATGAATGATATTTTTTCCAATTCTCACCATCAAGGCCCACTACATTGAGATATTTATCGTAACAACTCACTGTATCAACTTAAAAATTAATATCAATGATTTAATGGAATTAAATAAAATTGTACA